GCACATAACAACAACAACAACAACAACATAAGCTTCTTTAGGATATATTAACTCTTATACCTCTTTTAGGCTCTGGATTTGTTAGCTCATGCCACCTTTAACATTCATATTTATCAGCAACCACTTCTATAGAATCTACCACTTCCCTTGCCTAACATCATTATATAGAGAAATTTATTTTAAGTATATATATAATTGCTTTTTATCAATATCAATTTATTGTTTGACCTCAGCCTACTAATATCTGTGGCTACAGAAGTTCATGTAAAAAGATCTCCTATATCCATCAACTATTAAAACATTTTAAATTTTACTACATTGAAGGCCTCCTAGTGACACCAACATATATATTCCAGGTAACTGAGGACCAGTCTATTTTTTAATAGTTTCAAGGAAGTAGACATCTATCTTTTCCTTTAAATGGAAACAAAAATAGGCAAAATCCTATTCAGAGTGATGTTTCCTCATTCAATATGTCTTTCTGGGAAAAAACTCATAATAAACTAACTGGAAAATAAAGTAGACAAAACTTTTGGATAATTTTCAGTTTGTAGAATTCCTGAAAAAAAAACTTTATAGTAAACACCTCCCTTTATACCTTGATGATATGTCGACGGCACAAAACAACAAACAACAACAATATGTATAATATAATTATGTATATATGTGTGTGTGTGTGTGTGTGTGTGTGTGTGTGTGTATGTAAAATAAAATTATGAAGGGAGGTATTTTACTTCTGAGGCCAAAGAAGATGGGAAGGCTGAGGGAGCTGTCATTATGTGCAGATTCTGAGCTTTGAATTAATTGTGGAGGACTAGGACACCCAGCATCTCTTCCATCTCTACCATCCCGGATCGCATACTTCTGCACAACTAGTTCAAAGCTCAGATTCTTCAGATAGTGACAGCTCTCCCAGACTTCCCACCCACCTTGGGCTTAGAAGTAAAATACATCCCTTCACACTTAGGAATGGATTCTCACATTAAAAAAGTGAAGAAATCCACTCTTTCAGCAAATATGTGCTGAAATACCCACCTATAGGCCTGTTATTCAGATCCTCAGAGGCAGCATGGAGGAGCTATATTTTTCAGCAGCAGTTGAGTGTGTATGACTCAGTGCATTAAGTCTGCATGATTTTTTGAAGAGGAAATGAAGGCAGAATAAAGTGGTAGGTGATGCTAATACTCACAGATCTTACCAGAGATGGAATATTGAGTAGATAGATAAGAGATTACTAATTGAAAATGCTCATCTGGTAACCAAAAGGTTGGCAGTTCAAACTCACTAGGCACTTCACAGGAGAAAGATGTATTAGCCTGCTTCCCTAATAATATTATGATAACTCTATGGGACAGTACTACTCTGTCCTATAGGGTGGCTAAGAGTCAAAATTGACTCAGTGACAATGGATTTTCTTTCTTTTTTTTTTTTTTTTCCTATGTATAGCCTCAAGTGTCACAGAAGAATGCCACTTAATCTGCAACAGGTCTGGAATATGAAGATGGGAATGGAAGAAAACTTAATGTTACATCTATGACATTATCTAAGGACATTGAAAATTAGCAATATCAGTCCTCTTAGAATCAAAGTTTCCATTTCTGTAATATCTAGATGTCTGGTGGCATAGTGCCTAAGGCATTTGACTGCTAACCAGAAGCCTGGTGATTCAAACCCACCAGCCACTCCTCGGAAAGAAGGTTGGGCAATCTACTTCCGTACTGATACCACCTCAGAAACCCAAGGAGGCATCACTATGAGTCATATCTGACTCAAGGGCAGTGAGTTTGGTTTGGTTTTTGAAATATCTAGGTGATAAATACTTAACCATTCTTCTGTTCCACAAGCACCTGCATAGGCTTTGGAAAATATGTTACAACAAATTATTCCCACACTTCCCTGGAATAATGTTCAAATATTCAGGGTCACATGGTCACACTTTAATTCATGTTGTTAATGTTCTGGGAGAAATGATGAGGGACTTGTCTTCTCCTTTCCCACTCATATTTTTCTCTGACTAGGTATCAGAATCAGTGATGAAGAAAGAACTAGCCAATCTCCATGGGATTCACCAACATGTCCTATCTATATCCCAGAACAGTGACCCTGATTGGCATTCCTGGATTAGAGCATGTGCAGTTTTGGATTGGGTTTCCCTTCTTTGGTGTGTGCTTGTTGGCTCTGATGGGGAACATCTTCTTGTTAATCATCATCCCTACGGAGCGCAGCCTGCATCAACCCATGTACATCTTCCTGGCAGTACTGGCAGCAACTGATCTAGGCCTCTGCATAGCCATTGCTCCAAAGATGCTGGCCATCTTCTGGTTTGGCTCTTGCTCCATGACTTTTGATGCCTGCCTCACCCAGCTCTTCTTCATCCATGCCTTGCAGGGAATGGAATCTGGCATCCTGTTGGCCATGGCCTATGATCGCTATGTTGCCATCTGTGATCCACTGAGGCACACATCCATCCTCACACCTTTTGTTCTGGTTAAGATGGTGGTGGTAGTGGTAATCCGGGCAACAGTGCTTGTTGGTGCTCTACCCATTCTACTGAAACGACTGCAACGTTTCCACTCTAGGGTTATCATTCACTCTTACTGTGAACACATGGCTGTGGTCAAGCTGGCTGCAGAAGATATCTGTGTTAGCAAATCATATGGGCTTTTTGTGGCATTTGCAATTCTAGGCTTTGATATGATATTTGTCTTCATTTCTTACATTCATATTTTCCAAGCTGTTTTTCGTCTTTCCCAGAAGGAATCACGACTCAAAGCATTTAACACTTGTATTGCACATATAGTTGTATTTTTTGAGTTTTATATCCTTGCCTTCTTTTCCTTCTTTAGCCACCGTTTTGGTCATGTATCACCCTATGTTCACATTCTTCTGTCTACCATCTATCTACTTGTACCCCCTGCTCTTAACCCCATTGTCTATGGAGTTAAGACAAAAGAGATCCGCAGGAGGGTAGTTCAGATTTTTATTCTGAAACCTGATATTCGGCACTGATCTAACATTTAATATGTTACATATGAATGTGTGAACATTATGTTGAAATTTCACATGATAATTATCTCTCATTTTTTAAAAAAATATATGTTTTCAAAGCAATACCATGCCAAACAAGAAATATTCTTTGGATAAGAATTATATATATATTTCATAATTTCCATCTTGCCTCCATCCCTCCTTTTCTTTCTTCCTCCCTTAACCATTGCTTCTTTTTGTTTGTTTCCTTCCTTTTTTTCTTTCTTTTTTTTTTTTACTTCCTTGTTCACATGTCTGTTGTGTCTTTCACATTATGAAGAGGCAGTTCATGTTTTGGATGTCAAACTACAGAAAAGACACATTTTAATTTCAAAAGCCTCACAGTATAGTGATGACACCAAAATACTGGGCAGATGTAATTTAATGTAACTTAGGATATCTAAAATAGAAAGAAGGGGTACAGGAATTTAGATTATAAAAAGGATAGTGAAAAACCTCATAGAGGATGTCATGACAAATATGAAATTTGAATATTTTGTTTGACTTCAGAGGATAAAATGTCATTCACCTTAATTTAAATTCATGTTTGTATAGTACTAATTCACTAAGTACACAAAATTTCTGTACATGGAAAAGGGTATAAGCATCCTAATGTCAACTTTC